TGTGCCGTTAGAAAATCGGACAGACGGTGGTGGCTCTGCTCTAAGGGCACTCCTGACCCTACTAAGTAATTCCGTTTGAAATGATGTTTTCACTTCCTCACAAATGGGGATTTCACAATCCAGCGGCAGCAGGAGGAGGAGGAGGGAGGAAGAAGGGGGGGGGACCAACAACAATCTCTTGACTTTGGATTTTTATCTCTTCTGAAATAAATTGCCTCCTACAGCGAATTGCACTACAGTCGAGTACATAATTATTATCTCCTGCGGCCTATTCGCTTTCTCTGCTGTTCTTTTGCCTTTTGGCCAAAATAAACATGCTGCGGTTGTTGACATACATCTTTGGGGATGGGCTATTCTTTCCGTCCTTCTCACCCCCACATCCCCCCTCCTCCTGCCTCAAGTTTCGACGTGTACGAGGTCTCGAGAAATTCAAGACCCTGCGTTTCCCCCGCAGAAGGAGAATGGGCCGGGGCGGAGGGAGCCCTGGGGCTAGGCCGCGCCCCGAGGGAGCGGTGCGCGGGCGCCTGAACCGGCTTACCTGCGCGTCGGTGAGGCCCAGCATCGCGGCCAGCTGCTTTCGGTCGGGCTTCGTCACGTACTTCTGAATCTCAAACCTTTTCTCCAGGCCTTTCCTCTGCAGGTTGGAGAAGACAGCCCGGGACCATGAGCGCTTCCTCTTGTACGTCTGCGGCATGGTGTCCTTCGTGAGCACAGCGTAGGGACCTGCCACCAGGCGGTAGCGGGGGCAAGAGAAAGACAGGAGGGCCGCGTCAGTGCCACGTCCGCGGTCTGCGGGCCCGGGACTCACCGCGCTGCTTAAGACTTGTTTTTGCGTTAACATCTGCCCCCCACCCCGCCCCGCATTCGGATAGCCCTTCGCGCAGACTGGGAATGGCCTGTCTAAAATGGAATCCTACAGCTCTTGAGACTTTAGGCGTGAGGCCTAAAGCAAGTGTGGAATGGAGAAGCCGGAGCTTCATCGATTAACGCCAAAGGGAAAATATCAGCCAAATGCGCGGCCTTTGGGCATGCAAAGATTTGGCGAAAACGTCGGTTGGGCCTTAGGATGTAGAGAAGACAGCTTTGACTCTCGTGTGTGTGTGTGTGTGTGTGTGTGTGTGTGTGTGTGTGTGTGTGGATGTGTGTGTGTGCGCGCGCGCGCGCGCGTGTGTGTGTGTGTGTGTGTGTGTAAGTTCTTGCAAACGTGTGCGCCGACAGAACCTCTCCTTGGCCAAAGCGTTTGAAGTCATTCCAAACTGTGTGTATGTTAAAAAAACAACACCTCTGGCTGCATTGTCAAGCCCCTCTCTGGCGGCAAGACTAGGGAAAGCCCCTTCACCCCACCGCCCACGGCCTCCCTGGGTCCCCCACCCTCTGCCCCCGGGAGCCAACCGAGGGGTGAGCTAGCCAGCTGAGAACTCTTTCGGTTTCTGTCTCCGGGCTTGGTAGCCTCCTGCACCGACCCCGGGTTGGCTGAACCGCGGTGGCCACGCCAGGCGTCAGTCCTGAATGAGCAGTCAGTCGACCCGCCCCGTCAGGCCGTCGCTCAGCGGGGTTTCCGTACCTGGAAACGTGTCTTGAAACTGATGCTGGACTGAATTTCTCGGGTTCGAGCTTAAGGGGCTCAGGATGGCAGAAGCCTCGTTAATGGGATCTAGAGACGCGAAGAATTGGCCGGCAGAAGGCTGCAGGCCGGGAAGGTGTACGCCTGCGGGCCGCCCGCTGGTTAGCAGGGACGTGAGGTCTGGGGACGAGGGAAAAGAAGAGCTGGTTACACCTCGGGCAAACCCACACTCTCCGGCCGAGTTGTCCCTCCCCTCCCACCTGGATTCGGTTTCCCTGCAGCAAAGTCGCGAGAGACCTTGTCTCTACCCCAAAAGCCCTCTCTCCCCGACAGAGGCCAAGGGGCGATGCACAAAATGTTCCCATGTGTAGCGCACACGTCCACGTCCACACATATAGCAAGGAAGGGCTTTATATAAAACGGCCAAAAGGCAGTCACTTTCAGGAGACCTCCACCCTCCCCGGTGAAGGAGCCCCCACTCTGCTGTTTATCTACATTCTTTGAGTGGCATTTCACTAGAAATCAGATAAATGGAAGGGAAAGTGTTCCCCGAAAGGGTTTCCCCTGTCAAATTAATATAGCTCACTCTCTAGATATGTGATTCAAGAGACAGAGAATAGCCATTTTAGCGAATATTTATGCCAACGGATTTTTAGGAATAATGATTCTGTGACGTGTGTTTTTTAAAGCATCCCTGGAAACTTTTTTTTTTTTGTAATGCAGAGCAGGTGAGTTTTACACCCAACGTTTCACAGTCTTCTTACAATTCATTTTCTTCTCCCTCATTTTACCGACTTGTCCTTAATTGTGAAAATACTCAAAGGCATCCCAAACGGCCCTGGGACCTGGGAGTGCGCCAGGGCCGTGGTCAGAGGCCTGCAGCCTCTAGCCCAAGACCTACCTCTCAGCGTGTTGCCTTCCTTGACTTTGGGGTCAAATTCTGCAGACAAAATGCGGTCAATTCCAAATTTGAGGTCCTTGCTGGAGGGGGCCGGGGCCGAGCCGCTATGGGGGGGATTCGGGACCCCCCGCGCCCCAGAGGCCGGAGGCTGCAAGGCGCCAGCCCGGGGTGGAGGCGGAGGCTGCTGCTGCTGCGGTGGTTGTTGCTGCTGCTGTTGTTGCTGTGGGTGATGGTGGTGGTAGGCGGCTGAGAGCGGAGACAGCCGCTGCGGGAAGCCAGCCGGGACTTCGGAGGGCGCCACCACCGGGGTGGGTCGAAGCGGGGATCTGGCGGCAGCTTGGAAAGAGGCGTGCGGGTGAGCCGAGCCCAAGTGCGCGGTGAGGGCGGCGGCCGAGGCCCCCGCCAGACCCTCCGGGGCCGCCCCCGGCTCCCCCACGCCGGCGTGCAGGATGTCTGCGATGCAGAAGGAGGGTTTCTTGACCGCGGCGGGGTCCAGGGGGAAGGAGCAGCCGCCCGGGCCGGCCGAGGAGCAGTAAGCGGCCGACCAGAGGCTGAAGTTGGAGGCGTAGAAGGGAGCCAGCCCGGCGGCGAACATTCTGGCTGGGTGCGCCGAGCGCCGCCGCGGCCCGGCCGGGCCCGGCCGGGTAGCTGGGTGGGTGGGTGCGCGGGGAGGGGCGCTCTGGGTCGCGGAGGCGGCGGCAGCCCAGCCGAGGACGATCCGCTTTCGCTTCTCCGTCCGCACTGAAGACAGGCCAGGGAGCCCTAGCGCCACCGAGGGAGGAGGCGAGGCCCGGATCCCGGCCGGTCACAGCCTCGGCCCCTGGCCTCACTTTAAAGGCGGCGTGGCGCCCGCGCTCCCCGCGGGCCGGAGGCGAGCGAGGGGCTCTGGAGCTGCTAGGCGGGCAGGGGCCGCGGCTCCGCACACTCCAGGGAAGCCGGGGAGACAGGGGCCGGGCACCGAAAGAAAACCCAAACAGCTAAGCCCTACGAGCTAAATTTAAAACAACAACAATAATAATCCGTTAGCTTAAAAAAAAAAAAAAAAAAAAAGAAAAAAAAAAAAAAAAACTCCTCTCTAAAAACTCCCAAAGTTTTGGCAGGAGCTTCGGAGTCAGACCCAGGGTAGGACCTCGATCCGAGCGCTCATTGGCCATCCTCGTGACCAATGGGAGCGGAAAGTGGAGGGGAATTGGGAAAGAGGGGCGTGGCCCGCTTCCTCGGCCACGCCCCCGGCCACGCCAAAGTGTTTGCTGCTGCCGCGTGGGCTGAGCAGGGTCCCGCGCGTAGGGGCCCGGGCGGCGGCTGCAGGGAGTTGTGGCCCTCCCCTAACTTCTGCAGCTCCAACCCGGCATCGGACGTGGAGAGTTGGTCCCAGCGCTCCTGGGGCGCTTGCCCAGAGCAGCTGGTGCTCCCGTGTATTTTCACGGGTGCAAAGCGCGCCTCCTGGCACGGGGAGGCGGCCCCCTGGGTTCCCTCCTCCTGATTTCACTCGGGCCTGATTTTTCTTCACTCAGCCTTTATCCCGAAAGTCGATGTCCTCATCCTTCGTGGGCTCCGGCTGCCAAGCTGCTCAGCTCTGAGCTCTGGCGCGGGAGAGCTGGGGTGCGGAGTCCCCGCCCAATTTAGCACCGCGTCAGCCTTGCTGCCTCCGAGACCTTCAGGGAAGAGAGGAGGGGCGGTCGCAAATTAGCTTTATTCCAGGCTGTCACGCAGTGACAACTTGGACGAGTAACTTTTCAAACAAAATAAGATGGATGTCTCCGAACGACTCCCTTGGTCTCAGCCAAACCCTCCCGGGAGCCTCAGACGACAACAAAACAAGCCGCCGTCCCGAAACCCGGGAAAGCGGCACGCGCGTCCCCTCCTCTGCTGCACCTTGTAGGAAATGTCACCCTCTCAGCTCCACCACAGCCCCAGATCACGTGGGGTCCATTGTTTTGCAAGCGCCCACAAGAGCACATTTCCTTGGGGTTAAATACTACTTTCAATTCAGTGACGGTTTCCCCAGGAACCCCTTGGGCCTGGTCGGAAAAGAAGACGAAGCGGAGTCGACGTCTTCCATTCGTGCTTTGGGTCTTTAGAGCGTAGGGTGGGTGTAGTGGGGGTTTTCTGCAACATCAACATCTCTATTTTAAGAATTCGTTCTCTTTTAAATTACAGTCAGAATGGATTTCCCCACCCCTCTCCCAAACAAACCACAGGCCACCCAGATGAGTTCTTCTTGCACATTTTCAGGAAGAAAATAAAATAATAACAATAATGAAACACGAAATCTTTTGTTTTCGATTGTCCTAATAAGCATCTACTAACAGAACTTCTGCGCTTCTATGGTATTTCTCCCCCCCCCCCCCAAGAAAACTTTTAATATACTTGCAGTAAAGCTTCTGTGACATTTTTTATTTCACTTCAGCACCAAGATGTCTTACCAAACAAACCCAGAGGCAACAGAACTTGCCATGCCTATGTCAAGGCTCAGGATGTGGGCTAATTAAATATATTTCTAGTCGTTTCTAGACTTTTGTTGCAGCTGCTGTCATTTTAAGCTTTTGACTTTCTCCTGGAAAGTAATTAATCACTGATCAATCACTTCCGTCCGGTCAGCCCTGGAACACCGCCTCCCGCCCATTCCCTACCCGCGCCCCCATCCCCTTTCGGTCTTTCTCTCTCCCTCTCGGGGTCTCCCTCTCTCCTTTTATTAAAGGACATGCCTGGCTCCATGCAGCAAGGACAGAGGTGTTATTTCCAGAGATGGAATGGAGCGGTGGGATCTGCTGAGGACACGGGCACCTGGGGTAAGAGATCTAGGAAGTCCAGTTCTGTTTCTAGCCAGAGGCAAAGGAGTGACAGGCATAAGCCGCTTGGGGCGTTGGACCCTCCTTGAAATGCTCCAGTGGCGAAGTTTCAGGCCGAGGCCGGGGATTCTGGCGAGACTCCGCTGCAAGGGCGCGGCCTCGCTGTGACTTCACGGCTCCCAGGGCCGGTCACCAGCGCAAGTGTGTTTAGGGACGGCCATACACCCTTTTTTCTTGTGTTTTCTAGTGTCACTTCTAATTCCAATTTGACCGCAAACATTCAAACAGCGGCCTAAGTTCAAACTCAAGTTTCTACAGGCCTCACCCCTGCCTCCCGCCCCCAAACAAGACGCGTCCCTCAGGGGGCGGGTGGGTGCAGGGTGCTGACTAAGCGGAACGCGCGCCCCTGGGGTGTCCTGAGGCATCCACGACCCCCGTCTGCAGCATTCGAAGGCCTCGAGCGCGGGGTCAGGCGGGACTGGCGAAGGCAAGGCCCGGAGGGGGGTTTTCCTGCAGACTCCTAGCCACGCCGCGCGTTCCTCTGTGTTCCCGAAGGCCCCCTCCCCCCTGGCTTGGCTGTAAATCGCAACTTCACGAGCGCTCTCCTCTGCTCTTCCAGGCCCTCGGCCCCCTTGCAATCGCGTCAGCGCCACCCGGGCCTACTCTGAACTCTGGAGGGAAACGCAAAAAAAGGAAACCTTTGGAACGACCCCCTGCTTCCCCCCCCCCACCTCCCCCCCCACACACCCTTTTCCCGGGATCAGGTCTCGCCGCTGCTGGCCCCTCGCTCCTTTCTGAGTCCGCTGACTCCCCTCCTCCTTACTGCCCACCCCTCAGAACCAAGAAAGCGGCAGGAAACCCCGGGCTCGCCGGAGTTCAGGTCATCTCCTGTTTTTTGATGGGCTCAAACTCGTACTAAATGAGCGGATGTGCCTGCGAGATTGGTCTCAAAATAGAAGCGGCCTTAGTATTTTAGGATACTGCAGAAATCCTTATTTCTTCCGGAGAAAAACTCTATAATGACTCCTAGCACTTCCCCTTTCAATATTTGTGCAACTTTATCTCCACCGACAAGTTGCTCGGGTGACGCAAATCCGCCCTTGTGTATTACAACTACCAAAATAAATGCGCGGAAATCAATTCCCTTCTAGCAATGAAAATATAAATATACAGCTGCGACTTTCCCCTTTAATCTTTGCTTTCCGAGCGGCTCCGAGCTGTGGCGAAATGAACTGGTCCAGAGCAATTGAGACGGGCGGGGAGGCCCTGGGGGCAGAGGCGAGGGCTCCCGGGGGCCTGGTAGCCACGAGGCTCCAGGCTCGAGCAGGAGTAAAGAGGGCCTCCCTTAAGCGAATTAATTTGAGCTTAAATGTGGCTGCGTTGCCTTCGGGGAAGCGCAACTGTAAAGACAATTTCATCTGAGGCCGCAAAGCTGTGCTGGCAAATTACAATTGACAATAGAGTAACAGAAGTACTTGTTTATACTCAAAGGCCACAATAGCTGGGGTTTCTGATCAATTCTGATGGCTGTCTGTAATGCACTCCACTCTCCCCTTTTGCTGGGTACACCCAGCCAGAAACTATTTCACCATACTGGGAATGGACAATGCCAGATAAGATTCCTTTCATAATGTAACATTTTTGCTTATGGGGATGGCATCTAGGGTTGAAAGAAGGGGCAGAAAACAGAAGTTTCTGCATTGACTGAAGCAAGAGAGGGGTCCCCTTACCCTTTGGCTGTCCCTTGAGCCTCTGTATTTAAAACACCAGTGCAAATTCTTGTCCCAAACCTGGGGACACAAATACACACCAACTGAGCCTAAAAGCTCAAGGAGAGTGAACGCTGACCTTTGTTTATTGTAGTGCCATAACTCTACAAGGGCTTACGCTGTCCAGATCTGCTATCTGCTTTTGTTGTGGGGTTTTTTTTTTTTCTGGTACACTCTAGGCAAAATAATGTGCTAGGTAATTGCTCTGTGGACTTGGGGACTCTCCCTGGCCCTTAAAATGTTTTAAAATATTTCAATCACAGTACCTCGTGGTTTCAAAGACAAAGAAGGAAATCGCTAAACATTTCACAGTCAAAAAGAGAAGGAAGCCTAGCTTACCTAGCCGAGGATATGAGAGATTTCCAATAATGTAGGAATCTGCTTATATTCTGCTATCATTCTGCCAGCTGAAGATTTATAGACTGTGGGGCTCAGCCCTCACATTTAGTGGTAGGTATGGGACTTCTGTTCCTTGTGGATGCTACGTACTGGAGTTGAGGACTCTAGCTACTACACACACACACACACACACACACACACACACACCCCTTGGATTATTTTAAGCAGACCCCAACTCCCCTTTCCTGGAGACTTTAGTTAATCCAGAACTAAATAAAGTTCCTAAGTTTTTCTGAACATAGTTAGACTTTGATATGGGGTAGGAAAGGCAAATAACAGTGTGACAGCACTACAAGGCCCATAGCCACTGGATTTCTTCCTTTGCCCTGTTCTCATTCCCCAGGTATGGCTGACTCATAGGTGGCCATCTCTTTATGTGATCATGGCCCTGCCCTTGACCTCCTGCCCACAGCTCTGGCTTCAGAGACTCAGATAACGTTCTGGGTCTGATCCCATTTGTGGTTTCCTCTCACAGAGTTTCTCACCTCTTTCCTTCCCTCCATCACTAGGATGTACCACTGCACACACGTGTACTACTCCCCCCCCCCCCCATACACACATATGCACATGCTCGTGTGCTCACTGGGGATCTTAGAGACCGAGCAGAAGAGCAAGCAAGCGGTTTGGGGTTTCCTCCTGTTGCAAAGAGCTACTTGTCTGTCTTTCCAAGTCACCTTCTCCACATGCAGCCAAGAAAGACCTCAGACCTCATAAAACTTAATAGTAGAATCCATTTCAACAGGGCACAGTGTAACAAAGACTCACATATAGTTGCAGTGAAATCATGTCCCCAGAAGAGTAAACTATGAGAGACCATCTTTAACACATAAGATTTAGTGCTTCCTTCAACAGATTCTGTTTGGTAGCTGGGAGAGAGCTTGCACACTCTCAGCGGATTAGCCTTGTGGAAGCTGGGTGGGTTGCCTAAATTACCAGATCCTAATAGCCAAGGTTTGGTCTCTAGTGAGTGAGCTCAATGTTAAGGTAGGAGAAGGAGGTGTAGGTGATAATCATACATTCAAAACAACTTCGGTGTTGAGAGGGGAAAAAGCAAATCACTCCCAAAGTTATATTTCCCTAACCAAACAGTCAAACAAACAAACAAAACCTTTCTTTCCTTTGAGATAAGTTTTCCAACGTATAGCATAGGTTCCGAAGACGGAGAGGGACTAAACGGCAGGAATGGAAGGGGCCCTTGGAAGAGAGAGGGTCCTGGAGCCAATGAGAGCTCTGTAGGCAGAGCCAGAGGGTTGTCTCCATCTCTGTCCCAATCTGCCCACCTGCACCCCACCAGGATTGAGACAGCTTTGCATTTGGTGGCAGACTCCTGCCGGCCCTGTCTGGCCCCCACCAGGCCCCAGCATCCCCTACACCCCTTGGTGAGCCGGTAGAGTACCAAAACTCGGTTCTCTGCTGACACCTGCTGGGCCATCTCTACATCGTTGCCTGGCTGTGCCTGTCCTGTGCCAGCAACGTTGCTGTGATGCAAGCTGACGCTTCCTTTTGCGAAAACACAGGTTTCTAAAATCGGTGAGCACCAGCAGCTGTTACCCTCGATATTGCCAGCAATATGGAAAGATCTTGTATTATGTCTTTAAAGTGACCGCGAGAAAGCGGTCACCCTTTCGGAATAATACCTTACATTTTACAGATCTCGAGCCGAGTTCACATAAATCATCTCACCTGTTCTTTAAAATAACCAATTGTAAGGATGCAGAGGAGGTACGATTATCCCTGGTTGGGTTTAGGATGTTGCTCCTCAGAGAGGTTAAGTGGCTTGCCTGAGGTTGCATAGTTAGGAAATGGTGTTTGTTGCCGGG